AGGGGAAAAAAAAAATTTTTTTTAGAAGAACTCATTAAAAAAAAAAAACTTTTTAGAAAAGTCTTTCTTTTCACCATGTTTATAAGAAAGGTGGTGATAATGCTTTCAGGAAAACCTTCTTAATAGAGGTTGAGCAATCTTCTATTACTGAATTAGAAAGGAGATGAAAAACAAGAGACTATAAAAAAACTCACTGATCAGGTAAACTGTAGGACCCTCTTTGCCCTCTGTCAGAGAAAAAAGACATTCCATTAATTCAAGAAGCAGGCATTTAATAGTGATGAAAAAAAATGTCTTTGCCACTATATATCACTGAGTCCAAAAGTTTGATGGGATCCCAAAAAAGAACACGCAGTCAGGATTTATTAGAACTCCCACAAATTCACTAAATGGCATTTTAAATTAGAAGAATTACAAAGCCTATGGGTTTTAAAAGAACTGTTAACCAACTCAAAATCAGCTAAGTTGGTATTTCCTTCAAAATCAGGCATGAAAAAAGTAACTGTTATTTCTCAAATGTTTGCAGCTTCCTTTTAAAGCATCTGCTTGAAGCCAGCATCAGATACAGGAGATCAAACTACTCTCATCCAGAATGCCAACTCCTACACTACCCAGAGCAAAATGATAAAGAAACAAAGAGAGACAGTTGTCTCAGCTCTTAGTAAAGATGTCCTCAAATTCCAGAAAATCATTTTTAATGGTGTTTTTCAAGTTACAGTACCTGCCTCTATCTCAAGTAAGAATTAATCCAAGTCAAATCCCTTTTCTGGAGAGCAGGAGGAGAAAAGAAAATAGTAGCGAGTGTAGGATTTGTGACAAAACAGCAGCAGCTACCAGGATTTTAATGTTAGCATCTGGATGACTGTTCATGTGCCAGTATCCAAATTCTGCATCCAAATTCAGAACTAGTCCAAAAGGCAGAAAATGGTTAAAATAATAAAAACCATATGGCATCTGTCTGCCGTGTCCTTTGATAAGGCATTACTGTAGTCATATGAATGCCTGAAGTACAGCAATCACTGACACCACTGTATCAGCGAGGTCAAAGAAAAGAGACTGAACAGATGAAAATCAGACAAAGACTGAGAATAAAACAGTTTCTAAGAAAGATTATAAAAAAAGACCTTCTCTTTCTAAAAATCTTTTTTAAAAATACTCCTGTGAAAACAAAACCTCCTTTCCATTATAAAGCAGAAACACAGTTTCGTAGGATAACAAAGATCGCCATTTAGGGAAAAACAACAACAACAAAACCCCACAAAAAGGCGCACAAAATGTTATGTATTTAGGAACTACATTTTCTGCAGCAATTTTTTTATATTCTTGCCTGATCTCCCTACAGTTCTTTCTGTAGAGACCACGATCACTTCAATTATTGGGAAAAGTTAGCAGTGTGTTTACTTCATATTTCATAAAATTACTTTTATATAAAACTTGTCTTCTTAATAATTCACATAACACAAAATATTTTAACTTTTTATTTGCTCCATATGCCATTTTCACAGCTATCATATTTATCATACAACATAAAAGACATCTTCTCTATGAAGAAAAGATAAAATCTACAGTCTATCACTACAATATATTATTGTTAAGTACTGCAAAAAAAGGTAAGAATGTAAAACCAAATCTTCCCCACACAGTTTGTTTGTATGTAACACTAAAAGAAATGACTGCAAGACAGTAAAATAATATGCAACATACTCCATCTACTGGCAAAATAGAGCAGTAGGACAAAGTTCTGCTATACAGCATCCCAATGATTAGAGATGCTAATGTTTTATGTGCTAATGTGTATCTAAACCACTTACCAATGATTAATTTACCAGACACACCAAACTGCACATTGCTGGTAGTTTCTTTTTCCACACGCGTACATATAGAAGAGAAACGAGACCCTTCTCATCGGTGCCCAGTTACAAGAGGTAATGGGCACAGATTGAAATACAAAACGTCCAATTCAAAAGTAAGAAAAAGAAATTATTGTGAGAGTGGCCAAGCGCTAGAAGAGGTTTCCCAGGCGTGTCACGGAGCCTCCATTCTTGGAGATATTCAAAACACAACTGGACATAGCCTTGAGCAACCAACTCTGAGCAGAGGAGCTAGACTAGATGATCTCCAGAGGTTCCTTCCAACCACAGCTATTTTGTGATTCTATGGTCATACAACTACTTATATCAGGCTTTTGACCTATGTCCCATTCTAAGTTCCCACCAGAACACTTACATTTTTCTCAAAATACACAGTCAATATGGAAATATTTTAAATTATCTGTGGCAGAACTCTCCCAAATGGATTTTCAGCAACTTCTAGTAATGCAATACTTTTAAAACTCATCTATACTGTGATACACCATCCACTACAGGTGTACCTTCAACAAGGGAAATGGAAGTTGCACATTAAATCTAACTCAGGAAGGCATATCCCTATGCCTTCAAATAGAAAAACTATTTTGTGCCATATTTCTGACAGCCCATCTGGTCTAACCAAATTAAAAAAAAAAAAAAAAAAATCTGAAATACATTAGAAAAAGTAAATAAATCACAAATCATTCAAATCATTCTATGATTCTATGAACTAAAAAACTACAGTTTCATACAAAATACATAACCTCAGAAAACAAACCAACAAATGATAAACCAACTCTCGTTCTCTACGGTACTAGCCCTGAACAGTAAACAGGGCTTTAAACTGGGGAAGGCTCCTGCCCTGTCTGTAGCCCACTCTGTTTTTAGAGAAGATGCTTGACAACAATTTCCTTCAGAGTTCTCAGGTGTTTCATCTGAATTGACCTTTTTGCAGCTGTTTTCTAAAATACTGTAAACAAAGCTCCTAAAAAAGTAATATAATCAGGAAAATAATGTTATGTTTGGTGATTTTTTCGTTAGGTTTATCTAAGGAAAAAAAAAATTCAAGTTCAAACAGCAGAAAAATTTGAAGATTTTCAGAATTATTAATTGGAAAGTATGGGTTTTTATCTTGTGTAATTAAAATACATGAATCATCATCCTTGTTACTCTGCTTGTGCAATACATTTTAGTCTTAAAAAATCCATCTTAGTTCTTGACCGTAACAAAACTTCCACTCTGCCTCTAAAGTCATCTCTGTTCAGAAATCCCTTCCTCTATACTTGTTTCTTCCATTTATACAATCACAATCCACCACATAATTTGCCACTATACAAGCTCCCTACAATCTGCTCAGTTCTGCTCTCACTTTACTCCAGCTTCTTTCTCCAAACACCCTTCTAAGACTGTATCTTCCTAGTTTCTACTGAGCTTACCGCCTCAATCTTTAAGTGTGCCCATGTACTACTTGAATTCCTTCTGCAGATTTCTGAGTGCTCATCAATTCCTGGTTCTCTCTCTTGATTACTAGATGCATCACATCCCTCCTGGACTAGCTACCTTTCCCAGATTTTCATTTGATCATAGTCCCAAACACCACTAAGCCTCAAATTTTTTTGCCTTCCAACCTAAATCACCAAAATACTAGCGGGAACGGTGCCTTAATACTAACTTCTTTTTTGTTTACACAGAGAAACCCTGGCAGTTTCCTTCAGTCAATGGCTCTAGTTTTCAAACGACTGCCACTGCATCCACAACATTAGGTGGAGAAGAGAGCAGCGGTACCAGAGGTTCTTTTTATACAAGTCACCAGTAATGGCTATCTTTCTTCCCAAGAGATGTCTGGCTTGGAGGTCTATAAATCCTACCATCTGCTGCACAGCATGCAGAGCCCAGAATGTGCTCTGTAGATCAGCCAGAGTGAGTATCTCCATCTTGGATTTAATCGGAAACTAAAAAAAAATTAGAATCCTTTCCCTCCTCTCTCTGTTTTTGCACAAGCTGCCAAATGAATAAAGAACAGCTTGGATCCACACCATCAATTTATTATATAACAATTTATTCAAGCCATAACTCTGTACGATTGGCTTTAATTCCTTTAACAGGAGAAATTACAGCTTCAGGAAATAAAACCATACAGGTCTAATTAATTAAACCATTTGACATCAACACTATCATTCATATATAAACAATGTTCATCACCGGGCAGTTATCACCATGCCTAGAAAACTCTCATCAAGGAAAAGCACCATGAATGAGAGCACAAAGACTGATGAAAATCTGTCAGCTCCAATCTCTCAGTTTGCCTATTAAGCAATAATTGATAAAGCTATTATTAATATATTAATAACGTATTCCACATCTTCAGCA